TAACTTATGCTGGTATTTCAGCATAAGACAAGCTTCTCATCAAGAGTGCTACCGTTTTTAATTTGACTACTAGTGCAGGAGACTGGCGATACCTCCAAGGGAGCTACTGCGAGAGAAAAAAATGTTTGTGCTCATTTTAGGGGAGTTAAAACGGAGCAGCAAATTTTGACTGGGAACACTAAAGTAAGGGGCACGACAGGAGGGTTTAAAGGGACAGTTCACCTTTCACAGGTTCTTGGTTTGAATCTCCTGATTAGCTGTGTGCTCTCTTTACTCTTCTCACCGATCCTAGACACGCATCGTTGTAACTGTGACCTGTTTAGTTTATCGAGCTGGGATAGGTTTTACTCCCTGTCCCCTTGTGACCCCTGTGATAGTAATATATGAATCATGTTTCACTTTACTGCTAATATATATATATAACAGCTGATATTTACTGACCCAGAGCCATAGGAGCAGGCCTCAGATCATATAAACAAAGGGACATAAATGTGAACTGCTGACAGTTAAATCTCTTCTATAAAAACATCAAAGATTATAGATGTGACTTGGCACATGGTTTACAGGTTAAGCAAAGTAAAGTGTTTTCTTTATGCAATGTAATGTCTATAAAGTGTTAAACAGTCCTGATAAAGCAGCTCTGTACTCCTCTGGACTCTCTATTTATCCCCATTGCATACATAGAGACAAAAAAGGTACCTTGAGTGATGTGAAAGACGTGACTAAGACTAAGTTCCAGTCATAGTCAGGTGTGTGTGTTTGTTTTAGTGTTAATTAATCCTTGTGTGTTTTTTCTGCCAACATTCCCTGTCACGCCTCCTGTCAGTCAACATTTTTGCCTCATTGAACACAATGTAAGAGCAAATGTCATAAGTGTTGTCCATTTGAAGCTGGAGATTTTTCCTTCTTTTAATTCATATTAACTTGCTAACAATAACAAGGAAATTCCCTGGATTTACCCACTGTGAGATAAAGTCATTTGTTAGATTGCCAGTTTAACTTTGTGTGGTGGATCATAAATTTGATTAGTTTGTACATCTCTGTTCCTTACATTTCGTGTCATGCCTTTATTATTGTGTTATTTGTTGTTTTGACTGTGTTTTTGAATAGAATATACAGTGGGAATATAGAGGGAGATAAGTAGTGAACGTTTTGCCTGGGTTGATTGTGCGTCGATCCATTGGTAATGCCTCAGGGCTCCAGTAGGTGAGTTCGCGCGCCTCCTTCTTCACTAGTGATGGGAATTCTGGCTCTTTTTAGAGAGCCGGCTCTTTCGGCTCCCAACCGGCTCTTCAGGTTGTTTTGTTGCTTTAATATTGTTGTTATTATCAACAACGATATAAAATTATACACAAAAGGAATTACTAATGTAAAAAAAACAATGGTTTTATTTATATATGTTTATATATAAATATATATGGTGGCCCCTAGAGACAAAGCAGAGAGAGAAAGAGAGCCAAGGACAACAACAAGAGACAACATTGGCACATTCGAAAGGTATAGTAATCATCCACAATTATTTTCAGCTGCGGATGATAAAGGATTTAGAAAGTTGTTTTGGAATATCAGTTAACAATGTGTTTTGCAGGTTTGCAGGGTGTTTTGTCTGTAGGGGCCACCGTAAATATACTTCTATTTATTCACTCCACATAAAATGTAATAAATAAATCATAAAATACAAAAAACAACTATTTACATTTCAACTAATAACTATTAAAATTTTCAGCTTTTTCCTTTTAAACAAATTTCAAAGTGAAACAACAGAAAACACTGCAAACCACAACAGAAGTCAATTTAAATTAAAATATGCAAAACAAAAAGAAAATGTACATTCTCTGTCATATAGGCCTGGGATGATTTTTTGGGAGAGTGTTTTCCTGATTGGAATTGCATACATAGGATTCACTGCATGAATAAACTTTCTGAATCATTTATCATCTGCAACTGAAAATGTGTTGCAACTCGTTGTTGCCCCTGGCTGGCCTTCCCTCTCTCTCCCTCCCGCTCTGTTCCTGTGCCACTGGAGTGTAACTACCCCCCCCCCCCCCCCCCACGTGCGTAGTGAAGCGGAAAAAAGTGTGAGAGAAGAGAGAGGGTGAGAGAAACAAACAAAAAAACCCCACGCCTCGCTTCGCTCACTTCAAAGAGCCATTTTGTTTGCGACTGACACATCACTATTCTTCACTCAATACAGACGAGTGAGAGCGAGAGCTGCATGTCCGTGCCATTCTTTCGCCTCTCCTCACTATCTCCCCTGTTTAAGTTAACTGCCATGCACAGAACTGTACAAATGTGTTTTACTGTTGATTATTAGCCATTATCATTGTTCATTGCAACGAAAGAGGTGAATTGTGCACTGTTTTTTGATGAAGACAAAACTAAACAGCAGTGACGTTTGTAGGGTTACTGAAGTTGGGCTAGCTGGTATATAATGATGTGCTACGTGACCGCTAGCGACACAGCTATGTTAGCATAATATAAACAAGCTAACTTTTTTCCACTCGATAAAAGTTAACGTGAGTGTTCTCGGTGGTCAGGAACAAATGTAATCGCATGGCAGGATGCTGTAAAAGGACCAAACTTCAGCCAGGAGAACAACTGAGATAATCCATCCACAATACGAGGTTAGTCATTCATATACTGCTGCATGGGCTGGGCTGTAGTTACATCCTAAGGTTTTAAAAACTGAGCTTAAATAAATGATTAGCGGTAATAAAAGCCGAGGGAGGTCAACAGTGATCACTGACTGTTTTAGGAGCTTTTTGAGATCAAATAGAAGAAAATACATAACATTAAACATGTTAACAACACAAAAGCCATATTAAACGCAGACTACTTTAGGCCCGGAAGTAGGATTTGTCGTGTCATCACTGAACAACCGGATAGGGTTAACTACTGAACGACAGACAGTACTTTAAGTATGATTTAGTTGATGTGGAAAGTTAGTGACTGTGTCAGCTAACAGCTGCGAGTTAAAAAGATGTTTTTGTCTAATGTTAAAGTTAATCTTATCTAACGTATTCTGATAAGCTCATACAGAGAACAATAGTGACTTCGTTTGGATACAGTTGTCCTGAGACTGAGTGCATCCATAAGAATATTGTTTCGGTTGTATTGCTTCTAAAACTCAATACAGACGAGTGAGAGTGAGAGCTGCACATCTGTGCCATTCTTTCACCTCTCCTCACTATTTCCCCTGTTTAAGGGCACAACATTTGGAGGCACCACTGGGATGATTGATTTGAGGACCATCCCTGACCTGTAAGAGAAATCCTCTCGTTGGTCATCCCCCCCCCAGACAACCCAGGCATCAGAAAGGAGCATAGCAAAGCAGCAGAGGCATCGCTAGATCTACATTGGTGTTTGTAGCCTGAAGTGAAAAAGTGACCACTAGGGGGCAGTAAAATTCAACTAAGTCTGATAATTTCTCAGTTAACTGCTTGTGCTAACTCCTCTGACAACATGGAGCCTGAATTAGAAAAGCTACAGCTGGAGATTAAAGGAACACTGTATCAACTGACTTTAGAGCAGCTGATTAAATTATGTGATGTACTTCAAATCTCAGGACCAGGAAAAGAGTTTGTGATTAATAAAACGCGCAGTCAGTTAGTCTCACGTTTAGTTAAGCACCTTGAGCGCACAGAGGACGAAGGCATGTCAGACCTTCTTAATGTCCAGGACAATATAAGTGACATACAAATGGATAAAAAACAAAGTGTGAATGAAACAGTGGACCCAGCTGTTCAGGAGCAGGAAGGAGGGGGAGGGAAGGAGCGAAACACCAGCTACTGGTACAGCAGTTGGCCGAGATTGTAAGACCAGACTGACCAACCCGTGTACTGCCTGGATTCAAAAGCATTTTTAGGACTGGAGATGCAGTCTGGCTGGTCAGTTTGAATAAAATATAGATTCAGAAAGAAAAGCCGTTCTATAGGATTTTGTGAAATATAGTCGTGACTTTTCATGTGTTGACACACGTTTCTGCACTTCTGCATCGGTCATGTGTAGTGAATAGTTGGAGGAGGGGAGGATCATATCAGACTTACACTTACATTTTTTTTTTAAATGTCATTGATTAGAAATGTGTTTCATTTATTTATTCTTATTATTTATGTTAGTATTTATTTATTTATTTATTTTTTGTATAGATGGGTTTAGAAAAAGATCATGATTTGTGTGAAAATACAAACAGTTAAGGTTTATTTTTCCGATTGACATGGTGACATCTTTCAACTTTCTCTGGACAAAATACATTCAACTAATGTAAAAATACCTAAATATCTTGTAATGAAAGAAATTACTTACTAACTGTTGCAGAATGCAGCTATCTTCACATTTGAATAGACAAATACATGGTATCTCCTACAGTAATTTATTGGCATGTCATCATGAAGATAAGCTTGTCACTAAGAGTGCTAAAGTTTTTAATTTGTATAATAGTGCAGGAGACTGGTGATATGGTAAAAGGGAGATACTAAAATGACTATGTCTGTGAAGGTTCTGTCATCCAGGTCATCGTAATCTAAGGAGCTGGGAAAGAAAAGTGACTGGACTTCTCATCAGAGAAGCTTCTTCAGTTCTGGACAATTACAATTACAAACAGCTTTACTACAAAAAGTAATATACCTGCAACTGTCATTATGGCTGTATGAAATGAAAATGCGTGGGTTCATGTCTTATTTTAAATAACCATACTTCATTACATACACTACTCATTAATTGCTTAAAACCAAATTGTTCATTGGCTCTAACTAAGCAGAATGCTTGTATACTTTGGTATGGAGGAACTTCCATATTAGTGTTAGTTAGCTAACACCAGCTGTGTAACTGAACAGTTAAAGTAGTAAGCGATATCGCATATCCAGTATGTAAATTGTTGAACTACAGCCAGAGTAGCAGCAGCTGGAATTTGAATGTACTGGAATGATGCAGTGATCCCACAGACATCATATCTTTCTTTAGTCAAACTGTTGAGGGTCATAAAACTGCAGGTGCTTACTCTAGTATGCACAGGAAAATGCCTGCATAAGTATCAGGGGGTTTGGGCAATTTCTGATCAGCTGCTGGAGACTTGTTTCATCTTGACCTGCTTTGGCTTTTTCAGACAATTTGAGGTAAAAATATATATTTAAAAACTATATATTACGTGTATTAAAATACACTCTGTGAGTGTCAAACATCTTGAAGACCAGGAATTTCTAGAGCTGCTACATTTACACTTCTGTTATTGTTCCATATAAATGTACCCATATTCATTCTTTCTATGACATAATGATAAAATTAAGCTTTGTCATGATGTTAGGTAACACCAGCTGTGAAAGTCAAAATGTAACACTCAGCATCAGTTGAACTCTTTTCTTCATTCTTACATGAAATAATTGCCTTTTACTGCATTTCCATTGAGAGAAAAGGATACTGTTAGGTCCATATCTCAGTCAGAGTCCAGATTCTCTGTCAGAAAAGAGCTTGTTAGGTTTATATTGTTGGATTGTCATTTATGCTTATATACATATACTCATATATGCTTAGAGGTATACTGTATAATCGACTGCGTATTGATAGGATGTCTGATCCTTAGTAGTCTGCAAAGACTCTGTGTGCCTTCCAGAGTGTTTTGAACAGATGTGTCTTGAGCTGTGACTTAAATAAAGTAAGCGAGTCTATATTTCTTATGACTGAATGAAGTGATTTCCAAAGCCGAGGAGCAAAGTGACCGAAGGCTCTGTTCCCCATTGTGATAAGACGAGCAGAAGGAACAACAAGATTAATGGCAGATGAAGATCTGAGAGAGCGGGAAACAGTGGTGATATGAAGAAGATCACACAGATAAGCAGGGGCAAGGTTATGGATGCACTTAAATGTGAGAAATATATTTTTAAAATTTATCCTAGCCTCTATGGGCAATTAGTGGAGCTGTTGAAGAAATTGGGTAATATGGGACTTGTTGGGGAGACCAATGAGAATGGTTGAAAGCAGAGGTGGGACCAAGTCATTGTTTTGCAAGTCTCAAGTAAGTCTCAAGTCTTTATCCTCAAGTCTCAATTAAATGTCAGGCAAGTCAGAGTCGAGTCTCAAGTCACTGGTGTAAAAGTCCGAGTAAAGTCACAAGTCTGAAATTTTCAATTTCAAGTCCTTTCGAGTCTTAAAAAAAAAGCGAAAAAAAGCATGTTGCAGTTATGCTAAATGTAAATATTAGACCATGTAATTTTAAAATCTGTGTTTTTCTCAACACATGACAAAATAGTGAACTTAGAAAATATACACAAATTGTGAAATTGCACCTCTATAAAATGCAGCTCAATTAAACCTAGCTCCAAGAATAATTTTCACCGACAGTTCTGAGATAAGCTGCATGTTATTCTTGGATGCGGTTGTAGGACCAGCTTTAAAATCGCATGACAAAAATATCATACATATTAAAAAAAACTGTATCACCAACGTAGCCTGGACAACATTTGCTAGTTAGATGAAGTCAGCTATCTCATCGTAGCATAGTTATATGCATATTTATAATCATACGGTTCTTGGAGTGAGTGCATACACTCGTGAAGTTTAGTAACTTCAGGTCACTGCAACAAGCCCAGGTACAGTTTACCGACGGATGGGTACAGGACCTTGAAATGCACTGTGTAGAACGAAAGACCATCGTACGTATCATAAGTTTACCAGTCTCACAAATCGTCTTCATAAATACACATTCCTTAACCGTTTATTAATATAACCTTTGAGCTCAACGGTAATTAATTAGTAGTGGAAATAATTTCTGGTAGCATCACAGAAATGTAGCAGTGACAATAATATTGTATGCTGTAATCGTACTGGGCAATTAGTGACACAAAAAACCTGTTTTATCCTGTGAATAAAAGTATATGTTTTTGTCAATGTACCATAATAACAGAAGTGAAACGCAATATTGAGTCAGGACAATTCACTATTTATGCACAATAAATAAAGGAGCATAGCGCGACAATTTCTGTTCAGCGCCAGACTTGCTTGTAACCTATATCACCAATTATGTTATGAAAATGACGTATTAACTACTAAAAAACACTGACCTTCGTGTAAATGCTTGGTGCAGACTAACCTGTGAGCTGGAGGGTTCTGGGACGTTATATTTGATCTTTGAATGGCTGCAATCCAGGCCATCCGTCGCCTGTTTGTCACTTCGGAAACATGGCTCGAACAATTTCTCTTCAACGACGTAATCCGATAACAACCGATCTCTTTACCCGTCGGCTTCCCGTGGCTGTCATGTGACCGGCTATTGCAGTTAATAATACAACGGCTTCTTGACATTTTTGTGTTTCTTTTTATCGCTGTGTAACTGATTTTAATTAAAAGCCTGCGTGCGCTAGTACCGCTTGCCACGAGTTCCCAGAATCATCTGCGGTTCTACCCGTGAATGACGTCACATTTTCAATCTCTTTATAATATGCATGTTCAATTTTATATTTGGGGTGAAATATCAAGTCTTTTCAAGTAAGTCCAATTCAAGTCCCAGGTCATTGGTGTAAAAGTCCAAGTCAAGTCACAAGTCTTAGAACATTTTTTCAAGTCAAGTCTAAAGTCATAAAATTAATGACTCGAGTCTGACTCGAGTCCAAGTCATGTGACTCGAGACCACACCTCTGGTTGAAAGACCACAATCAGCTGCCATCAGAAGGTCATTAGTAATCCTTAACAAAGCAGTTTCTGTACTAGAATGGGGGGGGGGATTCATATTGAAATTGTTCATAGAGATGGTCATTGAGGTATGAGTGAAGCTGGCAGGAAAGAACTTTCTTAAGGATTTTCGAAATAAAGGGGAGATTTGATATAAGGCGAAGGTTATCAAAATTATTGGGATCTGCACCAGGCTTTTTGAGAATTGAAATAACATAAGCAGTTTTCAAAGACGAATGAGCAATTCCAGTGTTAAGGTAAGAGTGGGTAATACCGGTTATGAGAGCTGACCTAACTAGGTGGGCCAGCACATTGTGGTCAACAGCCCGGTCAGTCTTCCCTGAAGGACGACGAGTTCTTGACCAGATGGACACTATTGAGTTAGTTTCGTTGGTGTTGAAGTTTCGCCTGAGCCCTCGGTGGATGTACCTGCAGCAGGGCTTGAGATATCCATGTTGAAATTGAATGAACGGTTGAAACAGAGGACAAGACAGACTTTAACAGAAGACAGGAAAGACTCATAAACAGGAGAAATCGACGAAACAAAAACAAGAATAAAACTCATCTAAACGCTTACTAAATAATAAGACAAGAACTTAATATTATCACAAACTTAATATAGGAAAATCAAAAATATAAAATAAACTCAAAATGCTGGGTCACAGACTGTGTTGAAAATGCTTTAGTTCCTCACACTTACATGCAATCTTTTTGTTCAGCTCACTGAATTAAAGCTGAAACTCTCCACATTTTTTTCATTAGTTGTACCAGGTGAAATGTTTCAGTCATCCTGAATGATGAGTTATTAAGCATGTTTATATCTTCAAATCTGCACCACATGGGCTACTACCTGAGCAGTGACGTTGAATTATGAATAATTAACAAACAAAGTCTTCAGGATGTTGTGTTTGTGGCTGTTTAGATTAAGTAAAAAAACAAAAAAAACCCAAATGATTAATTCAGGCAGGATATTGAATCTCTTCTCCAATAATAAATATATAACTATCTGAAAATATTGTTTTCAGTTGGTTCTATTTAGATAAAGTTTTACTGAAAGTTTAACTGGATGGTTTGACTTTGGGCATACTTTAGCTTACTTTTTATGGCTGTTCTCAGCGCTGAACACATAATTCTGTCAGAATAACCTGACTCCATTTTGCTTCTGATGATTCAGGTTTTTGGCACAGGATGAAGTCCAGTTTGCTTCACTTCTTCTTCTTGGTGTCTTTCATTTCCTCTGACACTGCTGCCCCTCCCCCCGGCATCAAAGTGCGAATCACGGAAAAAGGTGAGGTCTGTAAGAGCTGCACTAACACAATAAACACTTATACCTTTTAACCATTTAAAGCCTGAACTGTGAAATAATTGCCAGAAAAGTTCAATTTTTTTGAGAATAGACTTTATTGAGAATTTTAAGAATTAAGAAAATAATTAAATATTATTTTGTATATATGAATTTTCATTTGTATCATATTTGCTACATCTGGCATTACAAATACAATTTATTGCAAATGTTGTTGCTAAAAACTGTATTGTGCTATTTCGGTGAGTCACACTGATGACGTAGAAGTTTAAAAAACCCACAAAACTCATATATCAGATATGATATACTTGGAGACCATCAGCAGTGGAATGCCATTGATTATCAATTGCTTTGTTATTATACTATTATTTATTATTAAAATAAATACTAGTAATTTTTGCGATTAGCACTTTAATTTATGATGTTAGCTTCATCAGATTCTGGCCCTTCAATCTTTGGTAGGTTTCCTTTATCATTTTTTAATATGTAGAAAAGACTATTTTACTATTTAATATGTCTTTGCTGTATCACCAGCATATGAAGTTGTAGTACATTTACTATGTTTTGCAGTGAAGGATCTTGGTCTGATGTACTTAAAGGGGCTGGTTAACCAGCAGTTCCAAATAGAAAAAAAAGATTTGCCAATCAAAAGGTAAAAATAAGTTATTGTTTCTATGGGTTATTATTATTTTGTTTCTTCATTTTAATTTGAAAATGTAAATGTGTTCATTTATGGTTAATACATGTTATTAAGTATTTTATAGTACAATATATTTTTATCCTCCTCACAGCGTGACCCTTACTAAACTACAAGTTGATCCTACTCAGGTGGATTTAAAATTTCAGCAAAACATTGGTCTCCAGTTTGAAATCAAGGACCTGAACTTTGCTCTAGAACTTCAACGAGAAAAAAATGTGCATTTTTTTAAGGAGTTCAAGTACGTACAACTACAACAGTGTAAATGCTCTTAAACCTCTAATTTTATGTCTGATGTGTGCAAACAACGTAGAGCAAATCAGATTCTGCCTGCAGAAAACCTTCAGCATTGTTAATAGTCAAGAAAATTATGCTCTTTGATACAGTCTCTGAAGACAACAACAGTATATTTACAGCAACATTCATTACTTTAACATGGTTTGCTGAGAGTCATGTAGTTTAATTTTAGTCGATAATGGGGTCTCTTCTAAGCTGGACATGCAGATTTTATCTTTAAGTATCTCTGTATGAATGCAGAGCTTTTAGTCTTTTTTGCCCCTGATTTTATGTGGTGTGCCACATGAATATACATTTTTATCTCTGTATTACACACACACTGTATCTGCTTTTATGGCACTCGCACTAGATTGGTTTAATAAACGCAGAACATTCATGCTGAGATGATTTGATGTTGTTGAGGAGAGTCTCCTCAGATCTCAGATGTGACAGGAGCATTGAAAAAACAACAACAACAAAGAAAAAAGATCATCCAATCTACAGTGTAATTGGTGTTGGCTTTAACATCACAAAAAGAAAAAAGAAAAAAATGTCAGCCCTCTCTTTGTCTTTTCCTATACAGGATTGACAAAGGTACGACAATCTTCACTGGAGAAGGTGTGAGAGCCATGATCCTAGTGAGAATGAACCAAAACCCAAAAGGACACCTGAATGTTGAAATACGAAAAGAGGACTGCAAAATCACTGCCGATACCATCAAAACAAAGTCCACTGGCTTCATAGGGTAACAAGACTAAGAACAGGGGCTTCCTACTTCTCTGTGAATCAAACAAATTTAAAAATGAATTTTTATTTAGTCAGTATACTCTTTTGCTGCGAAAACACCATCCAGCTGTTGTAGCTGAGGCTGATTGAAATGTCAGCTATTTGTTAATAAATCAAAGCAAGAATATGACTTAGGATTGGTTTCTCGACTTAATCCTCAGGGAAACATGAACCATCAGCTGGCGGATCAACAGTCTGTTAGACCAGTCCTGCTGATGGATGATAGGATTTCTGAAATTTGTTTGTTTTTCAGGAAGGTTTTGGACTTATTCAAAAGGCTGACCAAGCATTTCTTCAAAAAGAAGGTCAGTTCCAACTGAAACACAGCTTAAGCCAGTCTGAATGAAACCCGTGGAGTGTGCTGCTTAGGATAAACACTACCTACACAGATATGAGTGGTAGATCTGTCAGGCAACCCAAGCTTTTGGGAGATATTTACTAAATGCAGCAACCCAAGTAGTAAGGGTTATATAATATATATCTAAAATAATAAAATGGCAATGCCACCTAGGGGATTTTCACCCCCCAGGAAATAAAATCTTCTTAAAAAGTTTGCACAAGTTAAAGGATGCACCAATGAGGCAGATTGGCTCCAATGTCAATCTCTTTATTTGTATTTATAAAATAAATCAAAGGATGAAACAATAAAAGCTGACTGTGGCACAGCCTGTCCTATAACAGTGTCCTGGATTACATAAAACTATACATGAAACTAGACTTACCGGTAGCTAAGGACCAAAAGAAAACCATACAAAAAGTCTAGTCTATACACCAGGTACTGTACAACAAAGGAAGTGTGGAAAACGAGCCACCACTGAAGGTCCCACGGCTACTGGTGCATCCTCAGTTCACTTTAATAAAAAGACAAGAAACTATACGTTAAAAGTCAAAGAAAAACTCGAAAAGGACACCGCGTACCAAGCTCTGAAGATCGACAATCCAAAAATTCAGCATACTGGTTGGCCACTCTCGTCAGAAGTAAATGCAAATAAATCTGTCCAGGCATCATTAAATGTTCCATTTTCAGATATTTTTCTTTTCTTACAATTCTCCATACTTGGCCTACCTGGAGTTGGAAGTCTCGATAAATGCACGGTGTTTTAATGGGTGTGACGCTTATTTTGAGGACGAAAAATAATAAAATATAATTTTATTTTTATATTTCAAGCTCAGGATAATCTTCCAATTTAGAACTACAAGTTAAATAAAAGAACTAACACAAATAAAATACCCTTCAGTTAAATACTTACAATTAATTTTTCCAAACTATTCAATTCAATTCACTTCAATTGAATTTTATTTATATAGTACCAAATCACCTCAAGGCAACTGTTGTACAGTAGATCCTGCAATAATACATACAGAGAAAAACCCAACAATCATATGGATGCCAAGGCTAATACCTGTATATGAAATGAAGCATGCACTGAGCATGTTTACAAGTGGTGTAGAGCTAAGATTATATAAACTACATAGGCTTATTAAATGACAATACAGGGTGGAAATGTCAGGTTTATATTGTTGAATTATCATTGATGCTTAGAAAGATATAATCATATATGCTTAGAGGTATATAATCAATTGTATAATGATAGAGGTCTGATCCTTAGTAGTCTGCAAAGACTCTGTGTGCGTTCTAGAGCACTCTATTCAATTCAATCCTATTCAATCTTACTTATTTATATAGCGCCAAATCACAACAACAGTCGCCTCAAGGTGCTTTATATTGTACAGTAGATCGCACAATAATAGATACAGAGAAAAACCCAACAATCATATGACCCCCTATGAGCATGCACTTTGGCGACAGTGGGAAGGAAAAACTCCCTTTTAA